AGCAGGAGCAGGAGGAGCAGGAGCAGGAGCAGGAGCAGGAGCAGGAGCAGGAGCAGGAGCAGGAGCAGGAGCAGGAGCAGGAGCAGGAGCAGGAGCAGGAGCAGGAGCAGGAGCAGGAGCAGGAGCAGGAGCAGGAGCAGGTCAGAAACTTGAGAGATCCTCAAGGCTATCGCACCTCCATCTCCTCTCTTGAGCATGAACACTCCGCCTGCTCCCGCAGCCTGTGAAGGGATGAGGAAGGGACGGGTGCGGGCACTGCGAGCACCACCACGACAGCAGCTGCTCCCTTCTGACTCAGCTGTAGCAACACAAGTCAGTGAGTAGTCAGATGCAAGATGCCCAGGAGAAGGGGGAGGAAGACAGGTAGAAGCAGCAGAGGTTGAGGGTAGCGAGACCGGTAAGAGCGAGAGCAGGAGCGGGGAAGGAGGCCGGAGGGCAAAGAACTCACATCCTCATCGATCTTGATGCTTGTCAGGGCGTCCTTGACCTGCGGAAGGCTCACGAACTTTCCAGCAGCCACTCAGCTCCTCCTCCCTTCTACCTTGGTCAAGGCATCCTTCTCCTGAACGAGCTCCACCTCGTCAGCGAGACTGTCCTTGAGTTCCGTCGGAGAAGCGAAGGCGGTGGCAGAGCTGACGGTGAAAGCGGACAGGATGGAAGCAACTGTACAAGACTGCGATCAGCTTTCGTTCCAGCTGTTCCCCTGCCCACAATCCTCTTCACTCCTCTACTCTTCTCGCTCCCCTCTCCTGTTCTCGCTCCCCTCTCCTGCTCCAATCTTCGAGTGACGTAGCACTTCTACATATACCCTCTGCTCCAGTCTTCCAGTGACGCAGCACTTCTACATCTACCCTCTGCTCCCCTCCCTCAGCCTCACCTTTGGCCACCGCGGTCTTCATCTTCTTGCCCTTGTTCTCTTGTTCGGGCCTGCAGCAAACCATAAGACAACAAACATCTCAACTCGTCAGGAGCAGAGATGATCGGATAAGACAACATCTTTCATCCCTCTGACGATCGCACCGCCAAGACTTTCACACAACCATCGTCGCCGTCAAACATCGAGTATCGCAGTTCGTACTTCATATTCATCGTGGTCGAACATCTCCTGGAGCTTCTCAGTCCAGGCGCCTACCCAGCATGTCAGCCGATTGCAACTCCAGGAGCTTATGTCATCTGCTTCCCGCTCCTCTCCTTGCCGCTCCTCTCCTTCCAGCTCCTCTCCTCCTCTCCCTTCCTCCTCCTTGCTACCTCCTCTTCCACACCCTCCATTTCCTGGTCTCCGCCCTGCTTCCCTTGCCTCCACCCTCCTCTCATCTGACCCTCAACCCTCCTCTGCACCTCTCGTCCTCCCACCCCTCCTGTTCCTCCTACCTGTACGGGTCCAGTCTGAAAGGCGGAGATCTTGTCCGGAAAGTCGACCAGGAGGATGAGCAGTGCGATGGTGCAGAGTGTTCTCGAGGAACCCCGGCACATGAGGAGCTGCATGCTGGAAGAGACTGCATACATACCGTCATAATCATGTCTCCCTACTGTCTTCTTTCCTTGCTCCCTCACATGCTCTCGCTGAGTTTACAACCACTGACCTGTTCCAGGATTCGTTTCCCTTCCATCCTAACCTCCCAGTTTTCCTCCTGGACACAGCTATAGTTTCCAGCATCCAATCTTCTCCCTTTGATCTCTGTATGATCGTCTATCTTTAACCTCCCTCCTCCTCCTCCTCCTCCTCCTCCTCCTCCTCCTCCTGATCTGCCTCCGCATTCCTCTCCTCTGCATCGCCATTGCGGCCTCATACAACACAGCTGTACCCACCCCGGTATACCTAACTTGAACCACCCCACCCCCATTTTTCGTCCATCTACCCCCTTGGACTACTAATACCATTACCCTACCCCTTTACGCCCCTAGCTCCACTCCAATCGTGGTCGTTAGGGGATCGGATACCACCGGTGATGGTCTCTCACGATCACCCCTCCAGGTTACCATACCCCGAAAGCTACAATTTACAGAGGAACAACCCCCTAGCACAAGGTCCTACAACCCAGTAGGACCCTTCCACGTCTTCCTATGTCATTGACTACCCCCAGCACCTGTAGAAACACACACCAATAGTACTGCTTGAGGATCCCACCCCCATAGAAGGTGCCAAAATATCACCCCACCCCTTTCATATGGCCTCCACATTTGACCACCCCACCTGTTTCCTGAGGATCCTCGTATACATAAGCGGCCCCACCCCACCCACCCCACTGAGTTATTTGGAAACATATTCAACACCCTCACCCCCTTTTCTGGAATTTGTCCTGAAGTACCCCCTCACTTATGAAGTTTTCAGTACGCCCTCCTGGGTACCTCATGACCATGGGGGTACCTGGACCCCTTGCCAAATAACCCTCACCCCTACTTTCATCACTCAATATTTTTACATATCCCCTCATCCCACCTCTTGGCCCTTCCAACTGGCCGAACTTTCGTACCTAACCGGCGTACTGAGTCCGTAGGCTACTGAGTACCGGGCCGGGCCTACTTACCGGGGTCCCGACTGCCGGGGCAGGTTCTTAGTGGGCCGAGCACCGAGGCTGCGGCAGGTTCCGAAGTTCCAGGCGGGGGGGCGTTATTTGAGTGACCGTCGCGTATTTGAGTGCCAAGTTTGCGCCCCCCTGGGCCCGGGCCGCTTGCGGGCCGCCTGTGGGCGGGGCGGCCCGGCCATCCGGTGAGGCAAACAGGGCCCCGGGAACCCGAGGGCCTGGCTCGACCGTACCCGCGCGTCAGTCACGTTGTTACTGACGGCAAGAGTTTAGTAACTTACAACAAACACTGTCTTGAAGGATGTGGAATATTGGTCGCAGTGACACTGTTTACTTGAAGTACGGAACTTGAAAGGAAAGAAGGGAAGGAGCAGAAAGGAAAAGAAGCCTTCAGCGCTACGCAGAGAGAGAGAATGAAACTTTGTCGACATCGTTTCCGAGCAGTACTCGGAGGGTCAAGACTGAGACAGTCCGCTGACGTGCCGCTTGTCATGAGGAGTCACTCCGGAAACTAGTCAACTGCGCTGGCAGCTCCTGGCTCAGCAGCCGCTGAGCACGGGCCAGCACGACAGGTACACCTGGCACGCCGGGAGGGAGGTCAGAGGTTTCCGCCCAGGCGAATCTGGTCGAAGGAGCGAGCGGACTGGAGGACCTGCTGACGAGTCAGGGAGCCTGTCAACTCGGCGGCAACAACACTTGTCACCTTGTGGGGTTTGACAAGCAGCGGCAGGCGGGTAGTCTGTGCTGGGATCGAGCTGGTAACGATCAGCGACTTTGACCTGCGGGGAGTCAGCGAGCTGGGAGCTCAGCTGGGGCCTAACCGAGCCATTCCACGAGCAGAGAGCCCGCGGGCCTGGTAGTCCGTGGCGAAGAGAGTTGAAGGAGCCATGGAGAGCCTCTGCAGGTACATGAGAGGAAGAGAGAGGAAAGAAGGGGAGAGAGAGGAGAGGAGGGTGAGAGAGGAGGGTGAGAGAGTAGGAGAGGAGAGGAGGAGCGGAAAGAGGAAGGGAAAGCGAGAAGGGGAAAGCAAGGACGGAGGGAGGAGGAAGGAAGGAGGAAGCAGAAGAAAATCCATGAAGCGTAGAAGGGGAGGGAGGGGGAAGTGGAGGGGGAGGGAGGAGGCAAACAAGGGCAAGAGGGTGAGAGAGCGGTCGCTTGCCTGCACTTGGTACTCCAGCGCCCTACCCCTGGGGAACAGGAACTTTGACCTGCATGCAGGTGGGGTGGGAGGCCGAGCTGAAGGCCTGCTGGGCAAGGAAGAAGCCTGTCCCTGGTCAGGGCCCAGCAGGCCTGCCAGCTGACGGTTCTTAGCTGAGATGTGCTCGTCCCATAGCTCGACTA